GTGGCTTTACTTTCAAGTCAACCCTGATTTCTTAGCTGCTCTTTTCTTCTGGCAGCTCTGCGCATGCGCACACTGGGAACAGTCTCCAGCTGTTCCTCTGCCTCACTGCTGTCTAGCTCTGTAGGCACCTGATCACTGCCAGACGGCCTCGGCCCCACCTCTGCCTCCAACACAGAGCCCTCGTCCGAGCCTTCCCCAGCCTCCAGGACTGGCCCATGTTCTTCCCCAACCTCCTCACTGTCCGACTCTGCTGGCCGGTGGCGGGCCACAACACCCTATATCATTTCAGGCAAATAGCTTGCCAATCTCTTCTTAAAAACCTCCAGTGTTTTTAAGGCTTTCCAGAGGGAGGGAGGAGGCATTTCCATAACTTGGTCCTTTTAAATTGAAATCTCCGTGATTGAAGCTGCAAAGCAGAAGTCTTCACTCTAAGCTACGTCTCTCCTCTCAAAGGACATGTAGAAACTCTTCCAGATCTCTCAGTAAAGGAGCCTCCCCACCCTCTCACCTGACTGGATGACGGTTGCAGATCGTCTCTGCCTGGCGATTTTCTTCCTCCGAAACCTTCTCCAACAGCCCTGGATGCAGAACGCTTTCTCGGATAAGATAGAAGCCCTTTGGAATTCGAGAAGCTCCAACTATGAAAAACGTAAAAAATAAAATAAAAATTCTCGTTGGACCTGGGCGTAGCCAAAACAGATTCCGACACACAGTGGTGGGCTGTGGACCGGTTCGCCCGAATTGGTAGTTTGGAGCACAGGTTGGCCCCGCCCACCCGCCTCGACGCTATCTGGTCCTAGATCGGGGTGGGTTCCTGCTGTTATTACTACCAGTTTGGCGCCTGAAAAACTTTGTGTGCCTATGAAAATTTTACACTCTGCATGCGTTTGCACTAAAAACAGTCTGCACATGCGCACAACATTTAAAAAAGGGGGAAAATAACATTGTTTCGATGAAGATTGTTCTGCGTATGTGCAGGACAGAAAATCAAGATGGCGCCGCCAAGGATAGAACCGGTACGGTGACGTGTCTGCCAGAGTTACTACCTATTCGGCCGACAAGAACCCACCTCTGTCCTAGATATCTGACTTTCTGGCTTGCTCGCCCTGCCTGCAGCCCAGCTGATTTGTGCGTCTCACCCGTTCTACTAACCGTGGGCTGACCTAGCAGGTGTGCATGAAGCCTCCCCCATTGTAAAACCCTTGTTTTCAGTGCTGCGCCCAAGCACAGGTGCGCGCACTCACATTTTCGGCGAACTGGTTGTTAAAGTATGTGCAGCCCACCTCTGTGTGTCGGAATCTGTTT